ACATCGGGAAACTCCCTCACAACTGGAACAGAATCAATGCTAGGAGTCTCGGCTCCAACATCCCTCATGAACGCCAAATATGAAAGACAACCCTTCCCAACCATACGCTGGGCCTTTAGGAATGAAATCACCCTACTGGAAACATGATCAGTCACACCACGCCACTCGATCCTCGGTACACCCGGTATAGCCAAAGTGACTGTCTTAGCATGACAATCTAGAATAGTGTGACACGGAGATAACCAGTCCATGCCCAAAATAACATCAAAATCCACCATGCTCAATAGCAACAGATCAACTCGGGTCTCCAGACCCCCAATAGTAACCAAACATGACCGGTATACATGGTCTACAACAGCAGTATCGCCCACCGGGGTAGATACATGAAAAGGTAAAGCAAGACACCCTCAAGACGTACCCAAATAATGAGCAAAATATGAGGACACATAAGAATAGGTGGAACCGGGATCAAATAAGACTGAGGCATCTCTGTGGCAGACTGAAATAATACCTGTAATGACGGCATCTGAAGCAATAGCATCTGTCCTGCTAGGGCGACCCCTGGCTACCTGACCCTCACCCCTAGCTGGCGGGGCGGGTGCTGAAGAAACCGGACCAGAAGACGAGGGCTGACCCCTCTGCTGAGATGAGCTAGCAGCACGACGAGGACACTGCCTCCACATATGCCCAAACTCTCCACACTCATAGCAGCTCCCAGGTGCTGGAGACTGGGATTGAAGGGAACCCTTCATGCCGGAGTGACTAGCTGATGTACTCGGCCTGGAAGAACCCTGAGCAGACGGGGCACGAGATGAACTCTGTGCTGGAAGAGCGATGAGAGATGGCTGACTCTGCTGAGAACCATGATAACCACGACCTGAAGATGCCCCGCGATACTCGGGACGAGCCGACTGAGCGGGCCTGAAAGAACGACCCCGTCCCTGCTGGAACTGGCCCCTCGAAGGAGCGCTACTGTAACTACCAGAACCTCGAGGCCTCTTGGCCTCCCTCTCCTCTCGATCCTGACGGCGAACTGCCTCAATATCTCGAGCTATATCAACCACCTCCTCGAATGAAGCACCCAATACTCTCTCTCTAGTCATAAGAACACGAAGATGGTAGTTAAGGCCATCACAAATCTCCTAATCCGCTCACGATCCGACGGAACCATCCAGACGGCATGACGAGCCAACTCTGAAAACCTCATCTCATACTGAGACACAGTCATATCTCCCTGTCGTAGCCACTCAAACTGCCTGCGCAGCTCCTCTCTGCGGGACTGCGGTACATACTTCTCCAAGAAGAGAGTGGAGAACTCCTGCCAAGTCAAAGGTGATGCACCGGTTGGCCTACGCCTCTCATATGCCTCCCACCATGTGAAGGCAGCCCCAGTGAACTGAAAAGTAGTAAAAGCCACACCACTGGACTCAAGAATCCCTGCTGTACGAAGCATCCGCTAACATCTATCGAGAAAACCCTGGGCATCCTCGCCCTCAGCACCACTGAAAGTCGGAGGCTGGAGTCTACCAAACCTCTCAAGACGACGCTGCTCATCCTCGGGCATAGCTGGAACCCTGAACTCCTGCACTGGTGCAACTGGCTGAGCTAGAGGTGCCTCTGGAGTTTGTAGTCCCTTCACTCCCTGCTCAGGTGTGCGAGCAGCGGGGGTCTGATTGCCTCCCCCGGCCTATGAAGTAGCTGCTGCTGCTGTAGTGGCTGAAACCACATGAGCCAGGCCCGTGCACACTGTCAAGATCTGAGCTAATGTCTCCTGAAGACCAGGAATCACTATTGGCACAGCTGGTGCCTGGACTGGTACTGCTGGAGCCTGATCCGGAACTGGGGCAGCTGGTGGATCAATAGGTGCTGCCCTCGCTGCTCTGCCTCGGCCACGACCACGACCGCGTCCACGGCCTCTGGTGGCCTCAGTAGGTGGCACTGGTGGTCATCCGTCACGTCCGGTAGCTCATGTCCTCACCATCTGTGAGAGAATAGAATGAAGAGAACTTTAGTATTCGGTTCAACAAGTTCGCACGATAAGAATTTCAAGAATGTGAAGTTTTCCTAAAGGTTCTGTAGCCTCTCGAGGATAAGTACAGACGTCTCCGTACCAATCCGCGAGACTCTACTAAACCAGCTCATGACTCGTGAGACCTAGTAACCTAGGCTCTGATACCAACTTGTCACGACCCAATTCCCATCCCTGGTCGTGATGGCGCCTCTCATGAAGACAAGGCCAGCCAGATCAACGGAATCATTTCTTTAACCATTACTTAACATCTATAAATCCAAAACGCATAATAAACAGTTACAAAAAGGAATCAGCGACATTAGCAAAAGGGAACCATCCCGACACAGCCCGAATCGGGGTGTCACAAGTCATGAGCTACTACAAAGTTACTACATGTCTAAGAAATAGAATATCAGATACAATAGTCTGAAGGAACTGAAATAATATAAAATAGGGGAGTCAAGGGGCTGCGGACGTCAACAGCTACCTCGAAGCTCCAACCCGCTGCTTGCCTGTGAAGAATATCGGTGCTCAGGAGCGGACTCTGCTATGCCTGAATCTGCACACATGGTGCAGGGAGTAATGTAAGTACTCCGACCTAGTGAGTAATAATAATAAATAATAACTGAAGGCATGAAAACATATAAGTGCACAAGACAACGCTATATCAGGCAGTAAATCACTTTAAACAGTAAAACAGTAAAAAGTCAAATAAGTCTCATTTTCTTAAAGACAGGTAAATCAGGTAAACAGTAAATAAATAGTGAATAGTAAAACTGCCCCTCGGGCCCAGTATCAATCGCTCAGTATAGTAACAGCCCCTCAGGCTCAATCTCAGTCACACAACATAGTATCAGCCCCTTGGGCTCACTCTCAAATCACATGGGTACCCGCGCTCACTGTGGGTGTGCAGACTCCGGAGGGGCTCCTTACGGCCCAAGCGCTATATCAACATAAGGCATGAAAGCCTTCACACATCACACTCGAGGCCTGAAAGCCTCCTCACATATCACTCAAGGCCTGAAAGCCTCTTCACAATACACTCGAGGCCTGAAAGCCTCCTCACAATACACTCGAGGCCTGAAAGCCTCCTCACTCAGTACAGAAACATCATAAGCCCCTCGGGCATCAATAAAATGATAGTTCTCAGCCCAAACAGTAGTAAAAATGTCATTTAAACCTTAGAATTCAATTAAAGCGGCTGAGTTTGCAAAACAGTATAATTATAAGGACTGAGTTCAAACAATGTATCAAAATAGTGAGGAAACAGTGATAGCAATCCCTGAAGGATTCAAGTAATCGGCATTAAGCCCAAAACATGGCAACAAGCCCAAATCACGATGATAAACAAATCAGCTTAGTCAAATACGTGGTAAAATATCAAACGGGACGGACCAAGTCACAATTCCCAGTAGTAAACAACCCCGCGCTCGCCATTAAGCGCGTGTTTCACCTCAATATAGCACTACGTTGTGCAAATTCGGGGTTTCAAACCCTCAGGATATCATTTACTATCATTACTCACCTCAAGCCGGCCAAAATCCTAGCTCGCTATGCCCTTGCCTCGCAAATCAACCTCCTCGCGCGTCGAATCTGGCCAAAACCACAACGAATACATTACAATAGGCTAAGGGAATATAACCCAATCGAAAAGACTCGAAAAACATCGAAATTCACGAAATTGGCAAAACCCGAGCCCCGGGCCCACTTCTCGAAAAATCAAAAAATTAACATCACCGGGTTCCTTATCTCGCCACGAGTCTATACATATCAAAATTACCAAAATCGGAGTCCATTTGACCCCTCAAATTCCACTTTGAAATATCAAATTCCGAAGCCCTAGCTTTACCCTCTTTTGATGAATTCCCACAAATTTCAATGTAAATTCTACCAANTTTCGTGCATTGATCTGGTATCGGGCACTCAGCCCATTTCATCCCACCATATCGATGGCCCCGCCGGAGTTGAAAGAGTTAAAGGAACAGTTACAGGATTTGCTTGAGAAGGGTTTCATTAGACCCAGTGTCTCACCTTGGGGTGCGCCGGTGTTATTTGTCAAGAAGAAGGATGGGTCAATGAGAATGTGTATTGATTACCGGCAATTGAACAAGGTGACGATCAAGAATAAGTATCCATTGCCGAGGATCTATGATTTGTTCGACCAGCTTCAGGGTGCCAGGGTATTTTCCAAGATTGACTTGCGATCTGGCTACCATCAGTTGAGGATTAGGGCATCCGATGTCCCTAAGACAGTCTTCCGCACTCGGTACGGGCATTATGAGTTCTTGGTTATGTCATTCGGGTTGACAAATGCCCCAGCAGCTTTCATAGACTTTATGAACCGAGTGTTCAGGCCTTATTTGGACTCATTCGTGATAGTTTTCATTGATGATATATTGATATACTCCCGCAGCCAAGAGGAGCACGAGCAGCACCTTAGAGTGGTTCTTCAGACTCTGAGGGATAGTCGGTTGTATGCTAAGTTCTCGAAGTGTGAATTCTGGTTNGTCCATGCCCAAAATAACATCAAAATCTACCATGCTCAATAGCAATAGATCAACTCGGGTCTCCAGACCCCCAATAGTAACCAAACATGACCGGTATACATGGTCTACAACAACCGTATCGCCCACCGGGGTAGATACATGAACAGGTAAGGCAAGACACCCTCGGGTCGTACCCAAATGATGAGCAAAATATGAAGACACATAGGAATAGGTGGAACCGGGATCAAATAAAACTGAGGCATCCCTGTGGCAGACTGAAATAATACCTGTAATAACAGCATCTGAAGCAATAGCATCTGTCCTGCCTTGAAGAGCATAAAAGCGAGCCTGACCACCGCCCGATCGACCTGTACCTCTGGGGTGACCCCTAGCTGCCTGACCCTCACCCCTAGCTGGCAGGGCGGGTGCTGAAGAAACTGGACCAGAGGACGAGGGGTGACCCCTCTGCTGAGATGAGCTAGCAGCACGACGAGGACACTGCCTCCACATATACCCAAACTCTACGCACTCATAACAACTCGTGGGTGCTGGAAAATGGGACCGAAAGGAACCCCGCATGCCAGAGTGACTAGCTGACGCACTCGGCCTAGAAGAACCCTGAACAGATGGAGCTCGAGATGAACCTTGTGCTGGAAGAGCGCTAAGAGATTGCTGACTCTGCTGAAAACCCTGATGACCACGACCTGAAGATGCCCCACGATACTCGGAACGGGCCGACTGAGGAGGCCTGAAAGAACGACCCCTACCCTGCTGGAACTGGCCCCTAGACGGAGCACCACTGAAACTGCCAGAACCTCGAGGCCTCTTGGCCTCCCTCTCCTCTCTATCCTAACGGCGAGCCGTCTCAATATCACGCGCAATATCAACTGCATCCTCAAAGGAAATACCCAGAACTATCTCTCGAGTCATCAGAACACGAAAGTGATAGTTAAGTCCATCCACAAACCTCTTGATCCTCTCCCGATCGGTCAGAAGTATCCAGGAGGCATGAAGAGCCAACTCAGAAAATCTCGCCTCATACTGGGTCACAGTCATATATCCCTGTCGAAGCCACTCGAACTGCTTACGCAGCTCCTCTCTCTGAGACTGCGATACCCACTTCTCCAGAAAGAGAGTGGAGAACTCCTGCCATGTCAAAGGCGCTGCACCTGCCGGCCTACGCCGCTCATACGCCTCCCACCAAGTGAAGGCAACCCCAGTGAACTGAAATGCGGTGAATGCTACTCCACTCGACTCCAAAATCCCTACCGTCTGAAGCATACGCTGACACTTGTCGAGAAAACCCTGGGCATCCTCGCCCTGAGAACCACTGAAAGTAGGAGGCTGGAGCCTACTGAACCTCTCAAGACGACGCTGCTCATCGTCTGGCATAGCTGGAACCACAAAGTCCTGAACTGGTGCAACCGGCTGAGCTGGAGCTGCTCCCGGTGTCTACAATCCCTGCACTACCTGCTTGGGTGTGCAAGCAGCGGGGGTCTGATTGCCTCCCCCGGCCTGAGAAGTAGCTGCTGCGGTAGAGGCTGAAACTGTCTGAGGCAGGCCAGTGCAAACTGATAATATCTGAGCCAAGGCCTCCCTAAGGCCCGGAATCACAATGGGCACTGCCGGTGCCTGAACAGGTGCTGCTGGAATGTCTGCAGCTGGAACCTGATCCTGAGCCGGGGCAACTGGTGAAGCAACAGGTGCTGCCCTCGCGGCTCTGCCTCTACCACGACCACGACGGCGTCCACGGCCTCTGGTGCCCTCAGTGGATGGTACTGGTGGTCGTCCGTCTCGTCCTGTAGCGTGAGTCCTTGCTATCTCCGAGAGAATAGAACACAGAAGTTTAGTTCTCGGATCAACAAAGTCGCACGACAAGAATTTCAAGAATATGAAGTTTTTTCTAAAGGTTCTGCAGCCTCTCGAGGATAAATACAGACGTCTCCGTACCGATCTGCGAGACTCTACTAAGCCTGCTCATGACTCGTGAGACCTATGTAACCTAGGCTCTGATACCAAGTTGTCACGACCCAATTCCCAAATCCTGTCGTGATGACGCCTCTCGTAAACACAAGGCCAGCCAACATAACATCGATACCTCTTTAATATTTACTTAGCATGAATAAGTCTAAAACATTAATAAAATTATCATAAGTGCGGAAGAAAAGTGATAAAACAGGGAACCATCCCGACACAGCCCGAAATTAGGGTGTCACAAGTCACGAGCTACTACAGAGTTTACTAGAATTCTACAAAGTCTGGAACTAGGAACAAAGTCTGAAGATAGTGTAAATACAGAAGATAAGGGAGAAAACGGGGCTGTGGACGTCGACAGCTACCTCGTCACTCCTAGTCCGCCTGGTCTGGAAGGAATCAAAGCTCAGGAACGAACTCAGCTATGCCTGTATCTGCACACACGGTGCAGGGAGTAATGTGAGTACTCTGACCCAGTGAGTAATAAAAATAAATAATGACTGAAAGCATGAAATCTCATGAAGGCACAAATAACGCTATGTCAAGCAGTAAAATCAGTTAAGCATTAAAACAGTAAAGTATCAAATAATTCTCTTTTAAAACAGTTGAAGACAAATATTTTCAACAAGTAAGCAATAATCAGAAACCTGCCCCTCGGGCTCAATATCAAGCTCTCAGTACAGTATCAGCCCCGCGGGCTCAGTATCAGTCACAAAGTACAACATCAGCCCCTCGGGCTCACTCTCAAATCACATGGGTACCCGCGCTCACTGTGGGGGTGCAGACTCCGGAGGGGCTCCTACAGTCCAAGCGCTATATCATCATAAGGCCTGAAAGCCTGTACATATCAACATGAGGCCTGAAAGCCTTCTCACATTACACTCGAGGCCTGAAAGCCTCCTCACATATGGCCCTCGGACTCAATCAGTCCAAAAATAATCATAAGCCCCTTGGGCATCAGGAAAACGAAAATGCTCAGCTCAAACACTAATTCAAATATCATTTAAATCTCAAAGTTGAGTAAAAATATAGCTGAGTTCATGAAACAGTGTAATTCGACTGGACTGAGTTCAAATATATTCCAAATAGTGAGGAAATAGTGATGATAGCTCACAAAGGATTTCAAACAGTCGGCAATAAGCCCCAAGTATGGCAATAAGCCCAAGTCATAGTGAAAAACAACAAGTCATAGGCAAATACGCGGTAAAGTATCAACCGGACTGGACCAAGTCACAATCCCCAATGGTAAATGACCCCGCGCTCGCCATTGAACGCGTGTCTCATCTCAACATAGCACTACGTTGTGCAAATTCGGGGTTTCAAACCCTCAGGACATCATTTAAAATCATTAATCACCTCTAGCCGGCCAAAAGTCTAGCTCGCTATGCCCTTTCCTCTCGAATCGACCTCCTCGTGCGCCAAGTCTGATCAAAACCACAAGGAATACGTTACAATAAGGCTAAGGGAACACAACTCAATCGAAAAATATCTCGAAAAACTAATCGAAAATCACGAAATTAGGCAAAACCTGAGCCCCGGGCCCACTTCCCGAAAAACTACAA